AAAAAAAGGATAATCATTCTCTGCAGAAGATTGCAAGTCCTTGCTTCAAAATCCCAAGACCCCATTCTGTGACTGAACTATGGAAGCCTGCTAAAGGCTCCAAGCAGCAGCCTCATCTGTCACTAAAACCTGAACTACTCTGTTCATGTTTCACAGTCTATGGTAATCAGGATTCTCTACAGGAACAAAACTGATATAAGGAATATACATTACAAAAGGTATTTATTAAATCTGATTAACAGTTAGGGTTGAATGGTCCAACAATGGCTGCTTGTATGCTGAGGAGCCTGAAAACCTGGTAGCTGCTCAGTCCATGATGCTGGATGGATACCTCAGCAGTCTCAATCCTGCACTGAAGGCCTTCAGGCATCCTGGAGAGCTACTGGTCTTTAATCCCTGCTGGAAGGCAGGAGAAGCTGAGCTCTGATTGTCAGTGAAGGATGGCAGCAGTGGGGACAACAGCATGGGGTCACTTTGTAGCAGGAAGTGAAGGCAGGTTAGGCAAAAGCAGCAATACTTTCCCCTCAGACCTCTTTAAGTATGAGTCCCTGAGAGAGGATGCTGCCTGCTTTTGGGGAGGGTCTTCCTCCCTCAGCTAATCATTCTAGAAAATATAGACACAGACACATCCAGAGACATATTTCCTAGCTCATTCTAGACCCAACCAAGTTGATAACCATGTCCATCATTTTCCTTGTAGCAAAGTGGTATCTTTTGAATAAATTATATCTTTTTTTGGAGATTAATTTTTATAACTCTTGCAACAAAACATATTCATGTTGAATTCAAAGGTCTGTATTATTTGGCTGCTCTCATCTTAAAACTAATTTCATTTTCCTTCAGTTAAGGTCTAGACTTTACTTCTCTGAATTCTGCAAAGTCTTATTGCCTGGAATGACTGCCTCTTAGATTCTTTACCAGAAATTCAAATGAGAGAAATGAGTATCTGAATGGTCTAGAAGAAATCTCACGCATGGCTTTACATAAAGGGGAGAAGTTCATTAATTAATCAAAGTCTAGCCAGGAAGAGTCAGTACCTCCTAAAGAAACCACATTGCTGTTAGAAAAAAATTGGTTACAGACACTGAGTAAACATTTGATGAATGAGCTAGTAGGTTGCCTTGTGATATTATCACCATGCCTAGTTTTGCAAGACTACGTGGCCTGTTTGCATTTATTATTTCTTATTATGGGTGAGCCAACAAGCACATGATCATTGATGACTAGAATAATTTAAGGCAGAGAGCCATGCGAGTTAAGGGCATTGTGATGATACATTTAGAACCTCCAAAGTCAGCATGTCTTCATGTGGGAATTTGGATTCTAGAATGCTTGCTAAGAGGTAAGGTAGAATACCTGAAGCACACCTCTACCTGCACTGGTGATTTAGAGGGAAGAGGTTGAATCATATGGACATTGATTTAAAGGTCCTCACAGTAAAATGAAGAGTTCGAAATGACTCCTCCACTGATGGATCTTACTTCTCTGGTTCTTCATGGATGAAAGAAAGAATCCAACAGATGAAATTTAAGGCCCTCCCAGTTAAAAGTCTACCTTTCCACTGAGAAACTTTCAATGACCTTTGATGTAGTTTTAAGCTGACCCATGAAAAACCATCACTTTACTAGATACGATGACAGAATCTCTAGTCACAGTAATTATGGAGAGGCCACTCACTAACAGGAAGCAAGTGAGGGATAGAGACTCACCCCAAATTCTTTTCTTGGTGGAAGAGCAATAGGCATGCTTTCCTTAATTCCATTTGATGATCTGATGCTCAAAAGTATTCTAAATTTATTTCAGATATACATTTTTATGAACTCTTTAAATAATAAAGCAAAGGCTTTCCAAGATTACATTATTTACATTTAATTTAGCAGTATAATTGCTCTTGAATTAATAGTAATAAAATTTTTCTTAATATCCAAGGCTTACCAGCAGTTGCACGTGGTACTGTACTTCCTTTATAGTCAGACTTGATTTGGTGTGAAAGAATATAATACAGGTGATCTAGTATAAAGTCATGGTTGAAAGTATAGGCTCCGAGGCCAGACATACCTGGGTTAAAAAGCATACATGAGTCATCAGTAATTTTCTTAGGAGGAACAATGGACATATGGTTAGTTTGTGATTAGTTTGGAATGTACATATGGTTCTTTAATAGGTACTAGAGAATAAAGTATAAAACTAAGAGTGTGCTTATAAAATCAGGAGTAGGGAACAAGCAGAATTTATTTCTTTCATGCTAGAAATAATAGGTTAAAAGGGGGTAAAGAGCCTAAGGTTTAACAAATGCAGGAAATGTTTGTGTGAATTTTTAGTGGAGAAATGGATATCTTTATGAGTTAGCATAAAAGGTAATGTATCAGGTTAGTGGAGCAAGCAATACACTTTACTGTTTGCTTGTGTGTTGTGCTTTTTTGTTTGTTTAGTTTTTTTTAAATTAATGAGTTTTTATACACTGCATACAATAGTTCTTAATCAAATTTAGACCCCTTTCCCCATCCGCGCCTCCCTATCCCCACCCTCCACCAGACCTCAATGTATTCCGCTGTACATGTTAAGTCCTATCCAATCAAGCATTTATACCCAGTTATCCTTTGGCACAAATTCATCCACTGGAGTCTAGTCAAACTGTCTAGGGATCATCAGTATGGCCTACTCTCCCTCAGCCAGTAGTGATCAGTCTCCAATATTTCCCAGACTATCGCTGACCTACCACCCACTTCCCTTGCTCCACTCTGGGCCCTCGTCTGATTGAGTTGTCATGTGCTTGAACAAAAATGGCATATATAAAAATATTAGGAAAAATACAAAGGTGAATAAATATTAGTACAAGTGAAATTAGGTTAAGAGATTAAGATGTGCTAAAGATACTGTTAAAATAAAAAGTTGACCGAATAAGGCTGGATATGGTGGCACATACCTTTAGTCCCAGCACTCAGGAAGCAGAAGTAGGCAGATCTCTGTGAGTTCAAAGCCAGCCTGATCTGCTAATAAGTTCCAGGTCAGCTGGGACTACAGGGAGACCCTGTCTCAAAAATAAAAAACTAAACAAATGAAAAGTTCATAGCGCAAACTTGTTACATATTTGATATGAGGATACAGAAGTGGTTCTGAGTTGTCCTCCAACAGACCAGAGAAATAAGAAACAAGCCCAGAAGCAAAGCTTGCAGTTATTACAGAATGGACACAAGCCATGCACTGAAGAGATAAGTTTTCATTAGATCTTTAATTATAATGTTTGACATTGCAATATCTTGGAAATTCTCCAGTAAGATGCCAAATAGGGGATGTGGTGGGAAAATTCTCTATAAAGCTTAGAATAAATAAAATGTGTAGGCTGCTTTTAGATTTCTCAAAATATTCCAACACTAACTTGTAGAGAAAGGTCAAAGAAATAGGTTGTAATTTTATCTCTCTGATATTATGGTTTAATGCAAAATAAAAATCTAGAATACTTGGATGTCTAAATACGTTCTTTTAGGCAATCACCTAAGAAAATTTTGCCCTCAAATCAAGCAAAGTTTTCATTTTGGTTGATTCATCCTGTCTCACAGCAAATACTGCCCATTAAGCAGGGTTTATATTACCAATATAAAAATATAAGTTGATGTGCTTTCATCTCATAAAGGTGGCCAAGGCATAAGGTGTATTCTTGCATGCATCAGAGTAGCTATTGATGGGCTCCCATCTTTTTTCTTTTTATTGAATTTTGTGATATTCATACAATAAAATTTGATGGTATTTATCTCCCTTCCCTTATCCACACCCACCTTTACTGTTCCCATTCCAATTTACTCTATTATATATCTAATAAGGCCTATAATTTATGTCCCCAAATATCCTTCAGTCTGTCTATCCACTGGAGTCTGGTTAATCTATTAAAAGTCCCATCCTTGGGAGAGATTCTCTCTCTGCCTCCCAGCAGTCATTGGTTACCAAAAGTTCCTTAGGTTAGGTTGGGATTTCTACCCCACTTCCTGATGTTTATGCTGGGATTTTTGTCTGGTTTGAAGTTGCATGGGATTTCTGCATGCTGTCACCATTACAGTGAGTTCATCTGAATAGCTTCCTAGCTGTCTGGAAGTCTCTGTTTCCTTGTGGTCATCTACCACCTCTAGCTCTTGCAATCTTTCCACTCCCTCTCCCACGTTGATCCCCAAGCCTTGAGAGGCAGAAGTTTGATATAGTTGCACTATTCAGGGATATGCACTCTGTGGCCTCTTGTTCTCTGATCAGTGGCCAGTTGTGGGTTTCAGTGTCTGCTTCATAAGGAAACGTCTCTGGTGAGAGTTAAAAGATGCAGTAATTTATGGGTATAACAATAAGTCATTAGGAGTCAGTTTAGTACTGTAACTATTTAGAAGAAAACTGGTAATAGGCTCTTCCTTGTGCACTGTGACCTGTTTAGCCTCAGGTTCCTAAACCTAATAGCAGACTTTAAATCCAATTAGAGAGTGGGTGGTTGATTCCATACTATTTGTGCCACTATTGCACCAGTGGACATATATTTCCAGGCCAGCTGTAGTTCATGGGATTCACAGGTGGGTAAAGTGGATGGTTAATTTTTCTTTCCAGTAGCATGTATAGCACTTTCCAGCACTATGAATGCTAGCCAGTAGAGATGAGGCACTGAAGTCAGCATTAGCTTGATTTCTTCTTGTTTGTTCTAAAGCTCATGTATGTGGTGTGTTCAGCAATCACATCTATTGTGTAACCAAGAGCAAGGGACCCCTGGTCAACAATCTAGAGAGTGGGGCTTGCTTTTTTTGCACATAAAAAAAATCTGTAAAAATGTGCTTTTTTCAGGACCTACATGGTGGAAGGAGACAACCAACTTTCCAAAGTTGTCCTCTGACCTCCACATACATGCGATGACATACATGTGAACACATAAGAATCAATAAATATCTAATTTTTAATATCGAATTTTGTCAATTGGTCAGCTAGATGAGTTCCCTTTATTCATTCAGCCAAAGAAAGTAGTTTTTAAAAAATGAAATATGGAATGCTTCATGAATTTGCATGCCATCCTTGTTCAGGGCCATGCTAATCTCTGTATCATTCTAATTTTAGTATATGTGTTGCTGAAGTGCGCACCAAAGAAAGTAGCTTTATATTGCAAAATGTTTGTAATGATATGGAACGTGTAAATTCATAGATTATAAAATTTGCCCTTTTTTGTTGATAGAACTAGGCACTACACATTCTCAGAGAGACAGCTTGGCTTAATATGGCCATGGTTCTCCAACAGTTTTCAGCCATAAAGTCGTTGCCTATGACCACCTTCTGTTCTCATGAACTCTATAGTGATAAATATAGACTAGAAGACATCAGCACAGGAAAAATCAACTATTTGCAAGAGTATTGTAGGACAATTGATGGGCAAAGCATATAAAAGAGGTTCCTCAATACAGAATATGTTCTAGAAGTTGGACTGGGGAGGCAGGAAGTTATTATGCCAGTAGAACTAGCAGAAGGTCCACACTGAGATTGAAGCAAGTACTGAGGATGGTAAAATGGAAACCAGAGCTAATTCCAAATCTCTCCATGAAATGGGAAAGCCTCATAAACTACACAGAATAGTACTGATAGTCTTCATTTAAAAATTTTTTGGTTATGGTAAAATACACATCATTTTCCATTGGAATCTCTTTCTTTCTTTCTTTCTTTCTTTCTTTCTTTCTTTCTTTCTTTCTTTCTTTCTTTCTTTCTTTTTTGATCTTTTTGCAACAGGGTCTCCTTTTAGCCCCAGCTGTCCTGGAACTCACTATGTAGACCAGGCTGGCCCTGAATTCACAGAGATCCACCTGCCTCTGCCTCCCGAGTGCTGGGATTAAAGGCGTGTGCCACCATGCCCAGCTGAATCATTCTTACACGTACAATTCAGTGGTACTAAGCATATTCACACTGTTGTGCAATCTAGAATTCTCCATACAACAAAAACTGTGTCCACCAAATGGTACCGGTCTCTCCCCATTATCCCTTTCTCTGAGTCTCCAGCAATCACCAATTGTCTATATGAATTTAAATATTCCAGGCACTTCATATAAGTAGAACCATGTAGTGTCTGCATTTTCATGACTGGTTTCTTTCACTTAGCATAATGTTCTGAAGGTATATCCATGTAGTCACATGTTCAAGAATTTTCTTCCTCACTTTAAAAGATATCCTATTGCCTTCTCTCCCCTTCCTCAGCACCCCTTTTTTCCCCTTCTAGTGGTCTCCTTACTTGTTTCATGGTCTATGCCACCACATACACATATACATATAGGCATTATGAGCTAGGATTCACATATGAGAGACAAGATGTAATTTTTGACTTGCTAAATCTGAATTGCCTTGCTTCATATAACACTTTTGAGATCCATCTATTTTTCTGCAAGTTTCATCACTCCATTTTTCTTTATGGCTGAATAAAATTCCAATATATATAATATAAATTGTTTATCTATATATATCACATTCTAATTATCCATTCACATTCATTTGTTGATGGACATCTAGACTTGTTTCCTTTGCTTGCAATTGTGAATAATACAGTGGTAAGAGTAGATTGGCAGGTATGTCTCTGGTAGTATATATAGCCTCATTTGTTAATTCTTGGCACATTTTCAATGCTATTGAAATCCTGTTCAGAGAGCTCTTGCCTATATAGATATAGTGCCACTTATTTTTTTTTCTTTTTTGGTCTTTTTGAGGCAGGGTCTCACTGCGTAGCCCCAGGTGGCCTGTAACTCACTATGTAGACCAGGCTGGCCTTGATCTCACAGAGCTCCACCTGGTTCTGCCTCCCAAGTGCTGGGATTAAAGGTATGCACCACCCTGTCTGGTTTTGCCACCCAATTTTTGACAAAGATCTCAAATACAGACACCAGAAAGTTGGCAGCCTAGTCAACAAATGGTGCTGGTAAAAACTAGATACCCAACCATAGAACAAAATTAGATTCATATCTCTTACCCTGCACAAAAGAAAATAGATTCAAATGAATCAGAGCCCTTAACCTGAAACCTGAAACAGTAAACCTACTAGAGGAAAAGACAGGGACTACACTTTAAGATATAGGAAACATTTGTTTCATGGTTTCTGTTATTGATTTTAAATATTTTATTTTTACTTATTATTTTATATGTATGATTATATTGCCTGCATGTATGTAAGTGCTTCTGTGTCATGCAGTGCCTATAAAGGTCAGAAAAGGGTGTTGAATCCTCTGGAACTTCAGTTACAGATGTTTTTAGCCGCCATGTGGATGCTGGGAATTGAACCTGGGTCCTCTGCAAGGGCAGCCAGTGCTCTTAACTGTTGAGCCATCTCTCCAGCCCATTATTATTGATTTTAAATAACTGCAGGATTTGAGGGTGATGTGGGAAGATAGGGAAGAGTTAGTACTGAGAAGAAGGCTGAAACAAGCGGGACGAAGAATAACTAGACGGTCAGGTCATATTGGAGGAGGGCTGGACCCCGAGCACCAAGGAAATGAGGCTCCGATGTGGCCGCTGCTCTTCACTGTTAAGACAGTGGAAGACCTAGGTGGGGATATGAACAACTCTCTAGTGTCCTGTCCGGAATCCACAGGAGTTCCTATGACTCGTGGTATCTCTCTAGAGTATAGATATAGGTCATCTTCTGAACGAGAGGATTGCAGTGGCTAGGAAGCACAGGCAGAGCTGTGACTCTTTATTTGGCAGTGGTCAAGAACCTGGACCAGCTTCAGAGACATCGAAGGTGGGCTCCCAGCCCCAAGGAGCAGTATAGATGTTAATGTTTATACATTCTACAGTGATTTTACTTTTCCTCTTTTTTCCCCCTTTTCCTTTTCTCTTCCTTTCTGTACTGATCTCAGGCTCAGGTTCCAGCTAAAATATTTCTCTGGAAGGACTTGTTTAACTTGGCTTTGGAAAAATTTGGTCATGCATACCAGTAAATAGCAAATTAAGGCTGCTTCAACTTGGTCCAAGTACTCACCTGGGTCACACACGGCATACAGTGGGATGGCATCTATAAGAACATGTCATCTCTCATTCAAAGATGAAGAATGGAGAATATTACTTTGGGTAGACAGAATAATAGAAAGCCAACACACTAATATTTTTTATTGATGCTGTCGAGTTTAAGAAGCAAACCCAGAGAAATAATTTCTGGACATTGTGGAGGTTCCAAACTGAAGACAAAGGATGACTTCCCATTTTCATCAATCTGTAATATAATGGAATTCTACATGATTTTTACCATAGTATTCTGCAACATGATGTCAATGGACTTTTGCTTTGGTCAAGATTTGGATTTTTCAATGAAGCGTGACAGGAGAAAACACAGGCCAGAGAAGATGAACATGCTGGAGAACCAGAGAATAAAGACAATCAAAGGCATTTATAGCAAAGATGAAGAGAGACAGGGAAGAACTAGGAGAAAATGAGAGATAAGAGAAAAATGCATTGGGGAAACCCCTGTGATGGCACTGAAATGATCTGAGTCTATCATTAGATACCTGGAAGATTTATTTTCATGTATCAGGAATGGATGGTATTAGTGTCTATGGAAGTAATTAATTAATGTGGAGTAGGGATGATAGAAATGTTAATTTAAAAACAGATGGTAAGATTTGGCTGCATCATTCATGTGTACACTGATGTTAGCCAGATTTCTGGGGATAACTGGGGCAAAAGGAGGACCTTGAACCACACGCTAAAGACTTGCATCACTGAGGAGGCAAATGCTTGCTTAAACTTGCTAAATTTGCTGCAGTGATGACCAGGAACTATTTCATCCTTCGTGCCCTCAGAATTGGAATACAGTTCTTTGCAAAGTAATCATCGTAGCTTTATGTCAATCACTTTGGATATGGAATTTCTTAATAATATATAAAAATAGACTAATGCATATACTTAAAAATATTTATTATGTACCTAATATTACACACTAAGATAATTATGAAAGTCACATTCTCTGACTTTGAATAATTTGCAATTTATGGAGAGTAGACTGGATATTGACTGATACATTATACAACTTGAAAAGTTTAATAAATGAGTACAATAGGTATTTGGGAGAAGAGATAGGCCAATTTTATTAGGTCCTTATATTAACTTTGCAGCTAAGATGTTAGAGTACTTTGAGAGATCCTGTGTATACGGTTTAGACTACATTGCTTCAGTCTCCTTCTCATCCAAGATTGAAATGAACCATTCCCAGTTAAGACACCTTCTTGTTCTGTATTCTCCATTGATGTACTTTTTAGTTGTTTATAATGTTTAATTTTCTGACTCAGAGGAAATTCCTAACATTATTGTCTTCATTCTTTCCTTTTAAAACATTGCCCTTTGCCTTGGGAATTTCAAAAAGGTATTACTCATCTTAAAATAACTCAGAAAAACATTGAATCGAATAGGATAATTTTTCATTTGATTTCATCAAAGTTGTCATAATTTCCATGTATCTATATATCACTCAAAGTTAAAGGAAGAAATTTTCCCAACAAAATTTGAGTAGAAAACTATAGTTTTATTTAAATATAATGAAAATGAAATTGTTTTTCATAGGCATTAACACAAAATAAAACTACATAATATACTGAAATTGTTCCCTAAAGCCATTTGGGAGTGTTCGTGTTGTGCTTCAACCAAAAGTACCTTTTCACATGTCACAGTACTGTTACTCAAGTTTCATTGCTGGGAGGCATGGCCTCCTGCCATGGCCTGTTCAGCTATGCCCCAGCCAGTACAATCTTTTGCCAATTAGAAAGCTCTGCTTAGTTCAGATAAAAGAAAGTGATCCGATTATAGCAATGTGGCCATAGTAGAAAAAAAGCTGCTTGTTAGCACAACACTCTCATGCCTGACAAATCTCTTTTTTTCTCTTAGGGGGAAAAAAAAATGGAAGAATCTCGAAACTAATACTGCCCTTAAGTGTTTCATCTAAGAAAACAGAGAGGGGAGGAGAATATAGAAGTGTACTAGACAGGTTTAAAAAGAAACTAATATCACAAGTGGGATAATAATGCAAAACTCAATTGAGAATAAATAATGATAACTCTGCTAGTGTTTTTAATTTTGAGTATAAATTTTGTTACTTTATATGGTTTTTGGTAAAATCATTG